TGTTATCTTTTGAAAGTTTTAGTGAACCTGTTTCTTCAGTTGATATTATTTCTTGAGTTTTGAAAAGTATATACCACTTTCTGTATGTAGTCTCATGATCGTGTTTTCCTTGGTCTTACAGTTTTTTGAATTCTTGTGCAAGTATCAAAACTCTTAAGAGAATATGGCATATTCCTGTAGACTCCAAAACTGATTTCTTTCATATTTATGTGTTTGTGGTTTTCTTCTGTATTTTTGCGGAATGAAAGACAATAAACATATTGGTCTATATTAATCTTACATATAAATTCCATATTTATTAAATTTACAAAACTTTGCATTAGAAGTAATCGAAGTCATTATCCAATGAAATAGTACTGATAGCATGTTACTTTTCCATGGGGATAACTACTGATGATACAAAACTGAAGTTGATTAGTTCAGTGGATAAAGGATTCAAATAATGGAAGATTAAGATAATGAATAAGAAAAATAAAGGACCAATAGGTTTTCTTTCGAGAACTATTAAATAAAATTTACACTATCACAAATACAAATCACAAGATGCATGAAAGTTTTTAAAAAAATTATAATTATAACCCCCCACTATTAGGCTGACTTTTGTAAACAATTATAATTAATTACTTTAAAATAATCTAATCTAATCTAATAATAAGAAAATAAATAGAAGTGCTGTGAAAATTATTGTAATTAGATACCATGATTAATTGACTAAAATAAGAAGAACAATATCTAATCTAGTTCATAATTTTTAAACAATCTAATTTAATTCTAATAAAAAGAAAATAACAAAGATAAAAAGTCATCATTATTAAATAAAAGAGAGAGATACCAAGACCGAACTTTTGAGAGAGAACAGTTGATAATTGCTTCAAAATCTGAGAAATATTTGGTGAGAGAAGAAAGTAGATTTGATGCTTTATTTATACTCGAAGAGTTCTATTGCTATAATAAGAATTTGGTTATAATAAGAATTCGATTATCTTTATGAATGCACGTACTAAAAGATAGATACAATCATAGCACGTGCAATATAATATCTTTCGGTAATATAAACATATTATATTATTGTTAATAAATTAATCATAATATGATTTTACACGTGCAAAATAGATAAATTAGTTTAAACTTTTAGATAGTGTATAATATTTCAAACTTAAAAAGTATAATATTCTTATTATATAATACCACGTATTAAGGATAGATATATTAGTTGTATTAAGGATAGATATATTAGTTTAAACTTAATTTAAAAATTATTAGAATTTGATTAAGTTAGAATTTTATTATGATTAGGATAGTTCAAACTTTAAAGTTATTTGATTAGGATTAGAATAAATCATTAAATACAATTTAAAATTTAGAATTGATTAGTGATAGGATAGTTCAAACTTTATATGTGTATTTTTGCCTATAGAAAGATTTTCCTGAACTCGTGCTTTTAAAGGGAGTATGATCATATGGCTAAACCAATAACACTTTAAATTCAAATTTGAATCCTAATCCTAAACTAATAACACCTGAAATTTAAATCTAAAATTTAATCTGAAATGAATAAGGGTGGAGGAGCTACACAAGGGCTAAAGGGTCCTTGGGCACCCCTAGAAAAAAAATGAAGGTAATTAGTTTATAATTTCATAAATCCATTTCCCACACTTTCTCAAAGCTTTCTAGTGAAAGGGATGAACGTGAACTCTGTTCCTTTTTTTCCCTTCTATTTCTACCTCCAAGCGAAGGAGAACTTTGGGTTGTCTCTATTTGGGTTCAAAGAAAGATGGGGATGCATAGTGTTTTTTGTTTTTGTGTTGAGCTATTTATCTTTTAGTGGGTTGGTATTTCGTAATGATGTATGGTGTTTTGTAAAGTAAAAGGAGCAAACACAAGTTTGAAAATTCTGATTCCTTCATCAAATCATAAGCACTCTTACAATTTGGTCCCTCAATTATCTCTAATAGAACTGTAAAAATTCAAAAATAGGATTTAAAACCCAAATCATGATCTAATCCTATTACAATTTAAAATCTAAGATAACTCCATTCTAAAGAATCTAGATAGTAAAATTTAATCAAATATCAGATCCAAAATCATAAAATAATTTTAAGAAATAAAGGGAAGATGAATGTTATACTATGTGCAAAATTCTATTTTGAAAGTCTTGTTATGTAACGACGTCTGTATACTAAATAATCAAAAAAAATAATTTTTGGGGGGGAGGATTATATATATTATCCTATTTGATTATTCTTTTTTTAGCCCTCATTATAGAAATTCCTACCTCCGCCACTGGAAATAAATAACATCATAAATTGAAATCCAAGGGGGAAAAAAATCTGAGTTCGAATTAACAACTTTCAACCAATAACCCCTTTAGAAAACTTGGAGATCCAATCTCTTAATTGACTTGGAGGCCAAGTCACTAATAATTGATTAGGAGGCCAAAGACCGGTTGAGTTGGAGGTCATGTTAAAGTTGATTTGGAGAGCAAACAACCTATATATGTAGGTTTGAAATTTACACATATTTAATCATGAAAAAAAAAGAAAGAAATTTACACATATTTCACTTGGAGAGCAACCAACCTATCTATATTGGTAAGTTTGAAACTTACCCCCATGTTTCTTAAAACTAGTTGGATTGCACGTGCAATGCACGTGGTAAACTTTTTAATATTATTTTTAATTATAATTTTATTTAGGGAAGGTTTTTCTGGTTTTCTGGGTCGGGTTTGTTTGGGTTTCGGGTCGGGTTTTACCCACTCATATATATTTCGCCCCACCCGAAAACACTCTTGTTCATCAGAAAACCCTAGAGAAACCCTAACCTCCTCTCCCCCTCAAAACCCTAGCTCGTTTTTGGGCATTCTTGGGCAATTTTTGGGGATTTTCAGCGGCTTTTTATGGATTGCAGCGAAGGGGATTGATCATCATCACTTCTAAGGCGAGTAACATCTCGCCCAACCCTTCTCCCATGTTTTTAATAGTTTATAACTGGAAAGATTTGGTATAAATTTATTGAATGTAAACAATATAGCCAACATATGAATAGAAGCTAAAAATTCACAACGTTTAAAAAATAAACTTATACTTAGGGATTAATTAGGCTATAGTACAGTGGTTGTATTTACAAGGTGATTGATCAATCAAAGACTATCACAAGAATATACCTAAAAGTAATGTTTAATGATGTGGATGTAAATCCAAGCTTATGACGTTAGAGCCTTGCTAAGTCTTCACACTACCTAATGTATGAGTACATATATTCACCCCTGAAAATTTTACAATCACATAAAAAATCCAAAACACTCATTAAGGATTCTACAAACTAATGCTTGACAAGCTCCAAACATACCCTTTCCATAATACAAAGTTAGCGTAGTACTACTTTTTATTGCATAAGCTCATTTTTTTCCTTGTAGTTTTAACTCCATGAACCTTTTCAGTTTGACGATGATTTGTTGATTTGAGATGGCTTCCTTGAATCATACTCTTGGATTATCTAGGGTTTCTTATTGATCAACTGTTACAAGATAGTATCTTTTAGCATACATTAAGTTGCCAAAAATCAAGCAAAATGGAAAGAAAGAAAAGTACTTGTACAAAATTATCCTTGGTATACTTTTTTTCATTCTTGCTTGCATAATGTTCTTCTTTAGCTCACTTGGCACACGTTCATCTTGTTGGACATTAAATTGAAACGTCAGAAAAAAATATGGAGAGATTTATTAGCTATCTAAAATTTTGGCAGTGCTAATAGGATGACAGAGAAAGATGCAAGTAAAGGATTTTCAAACATCTACATTCCTATTATAGGGAAAAAATAACCAACAAAATTAAAACTGCAAGGTTCTTGCAAATGACTTGTCAACAAAAGTTTGTGTGCAGTCGAGATCACAAAAAAATAGTTCATTTGGCTAATTTGGCTCTTCTGTGAAAGGTTCATCAACTATAGATTGTTTAAGGAATATGTTACCCCAAGTAGCTTTGAACTAAATTCTTTCAAAAGCCATGAATTTTCCTTTCGATACAAGGCCACTAACAAAATCAAGCTTTCCTTGCTTTGACGGATCAGTTAGCATTTAAAAAAAAAGTAAATTAGAGGGATAATTTGGCTCTTTGTGAATATATAATAGAACAAAACAAGGTTTGAGTCATACTGCTCCAAGAGCAAAGGACTTTGAAGACCATCCCATAATTAGCGAGCTTCAATTTCTCTCTGTTAGGAAGTTGCATCATTTTAGCTGAGTTATAAAATTTGCTAGCTTGTAAGATGGTCAAAAATATTACCCATTTGTTACACAAACAAATTGCATTCTATATATATTTCTATTGTTTAGATTCTAAAAAGACTAATGTTTTAAATGGAAATTCATAATTGTTGTCATTATCCTATTTTTTTTCAAAAGATTCACTTTATATTCTTGTAACTTAAAAACAAATGAAAACATACAAAAAGAGAATTGTATGCGCACATAAACTGATAAATGAAAATAAACAAATACCTTTCGTAAAACAAGCATATACTCCAATAGCTCATTATAAGTTCTCTACACCTTTTCAGTTTTGACATTAACTTCAATTAGCTCAGCTTCTAGTTCACCAAGCCTTATCTTCCATACGTGTATGGCAAAACAAATTTGCGAGCATATGAGTACAAAAACATTTAGAATAAACTTGTTTGAATTCAACTTGACAAAGTCGTCAATAACATACATACCTTCAAATCATCGAGATCTATATGGCTTCTTTCTATGGGCTGATGGTGATATACATGCCTTTGTCATTTGTTCTTTAAAGAAACAAATTTTTTTGCACCATCTCCCCACACCTTTTAATCTATAGTCATTAAATATGTCAGTAAGAAGTAGTATATTTTAGTATCATATACACTTTGCTTTATACCACCAATTTAATCCAATAATCCAACAACAGTATGCACATTGAATAAGAAAATTAAGTTCAATTGACAACAAATTTCAAAGATCCAACTAACTGTAGAAAACTCTAAGTCAATCTAAAGTGTATTAAAGGCAACAGAAACTTACTTCTCTGCAACTGCTCTGGTGTTAACACCTGATATTTCATAGCTGCACATTATCAGATAAAGCAAAGGAATAGAAAGGTCAAAATCAAAAACCTTCAAGTACCTTAGTTCTTGGGTTTTCATGGATGCATTTGGCTATGAATTCAACAATCCCATCACCCACATTCTCATCACTAATTATAACATAATTTTCATTGTCAATTCCACACGCTTCCTCCAAATTATCTGGAACCATCTCTTCTGTTACCCAAATCCACCAAGAAGGGTCCCCATTGACATTATCGGAAAGGTCAACTTCTTTGAGATCTGCTTCAATGCACAAAATATACAGCACATGAAAAAAATAAAAAGTGGTGAAAACATTTAGCTGCATCAAATCAACTTAATTCAACTCGAGTTAAGGAGGGGACCAACCTGTAACTTCTGTAGGAAGATAATTGTTTGGTATAGCATTGGACTCCTGATGAAGTGATTCAATTTTTGTCAAGAAGCTTGAAGAATCAACTGTTGTTTGGTATAGCATTGGACTCCTGATGAAGTGATTCAATTTTTGTCAAGAAGCTTGAAGAATCAACTGCAGCCTCAAGGCGTGCATATAGCTGCAATAAGTGATTCAATTTTTGTCAAGAAGCTTGAAGAATCAACTGCAGCCTCAAGGCGTGCATATAGCTGCAATTAAACAGAGCTTATCATTTCATATTATCACAATCATAAACAGATGAGATTTACATTTTAAGCATCTATTCAGCTCTCCATTTAACTCAATTTAAATGAACAAATCCACCCTGATATTGACATTCCACACTTATCCAGAAACAACCGTACAATTAACAGTTAATTTATGTCTCAGTCAACAATTAGAATATAAATAATCACTTGTACAATTGTTCTATGTACATATATGCCGTAGTGAATTATTAGGAGTTATATATGTTGGAAATATGAAGTAAGATCTAGATTTGATAGCCACATCAATAAAATCAGGAAAAGGAACAAATGCTTTGTTAAGTCAATAGTCAGCATACGTGAGTAAAAGATTCAATCTAATACCCTATTGCTTCAAGTTTCTAAATAATAACCTTCAACTCTTCTAATAAAAAGAATATATAAGCCAAATATGCACATGCTAGGTCAAAAGAAATGAATGAAGCAATGTATATCCTACATAATATAGCAAATACAACTTTCCTGCAATGTATATCTTATATAATATAACAAATATGTAGTATGCATCATTCCAAGTGTAGCATAACCAGTATCCGTAACACCCTCACCCCATTGAAACTAAAATATCTTTAAAGAAAAAACTTAGCTAGATAACATCATAGTTTAGTGTACAAGGATGAAGCATACATGAATAATTTACATAAATAGATAGAGATTTTGCTTCACATCTCATAATGAAAAGCACATCATAAAAGTTGGATGATGCTTCACATTAACCAAAGAGAAGAGGGGAGACAGAAATGCAAGCAAGTCATTGGAAAGAAACGTGAATTAATTACACCTACCAAGGTTAGTTTAGTTTAAAACCTTCTGCCTTCCATATGAACACATGGTACAGGAATTAATAAAGAAACTACAAAGGTACTCACACATGATGTCCAGACGATCTTTAATGAGAAAGATGTTGTTTTAGCTTAAAAAATGAAGTGAAATAAGGTACCAAAACTATGCAATTTGATGCATGAAGAGAAACTCAAACAATATGACCGGAAACTATTCATCTCTCTTCCTTTAGCTCTTATTATATCCCATTTCAAGGAATGTCAAGTGATCCCAATCAACTCTAAATAAAAGATAATGAAAAAATTAAAACGTAATTAGGATCAACCATACTTCTCTGTAAAAGATATTCACAAATTTTAGTACTGGTTCGCAAATTTCATAAATTGTAGTTGTTGTTTGATAAGTAGTTCAACACAATTCCATAATTTTCACATAGGAACTTAAATTATACACAAAATTGAGTCTCGATTCATAGATTCCATAACTTATATCTGTTATTTGATAGCTATCTCATTCTTCATTCCATGAATTTCAAAAAAAAACTAAATTAAGAAAATTTAAAGAGACTGAGACTCACATCGGAAGGGCAGTCTTTAGAAAGAGAGGAAATCTGCGAGATCTTCTCAAGGACCGCGATATTTGCGGCAAAACCCTCTTTCAACCGCTCGTTCTCTAACTTCAGGTTGAGGATCTCCTCCTCCTCTATGACGATCTCCTTCAAAATCAAAATAAAAAATTATAAAAATTAAAATAAAAAATCAAAATCAAAATTTACAAATTGATAAAGACATACCAGAAAATTTTCTCTTATAAAAAGTTTGCTCAATTTGTTCACTTTCTGATCCTTGTTGATGCCTAAAATCTTGGAGAGAATTAGACTCTTGATGAGATCCGGAGGTGGAAGACTCGGTCGATTGATCAGAAAGTAGCACTTTCGTGGCAAAGCTCGGGAATTGTGGAATCGAAACCTAAGCTTGAACATTCGTAACCGCCAATTGATGAGGTAGACAGAGTGGGACTGACTTGCCGAAGTAAAATCGTAACTGATGGAACGGAGAAGGAAATGAACGAATGTTTAGGGCTTTAGAGTTTTCTGATTCTGAGTAACGAAAAAACAAAGGGTAAGTTTGTTAAATTAATGAAAGATGAAGGGTATTTTGGGCCATAGAAAGTTTTTCTAGTACTCCCTCTTTTAAAGGGAGAATGATAAAAAAATAAGAGAAAATGACTTTCTTATGAATTTTCTTCTAAGTTTTCTTACAATATTCTTTCTAAACAAACAATAAAAAGAATATCATTTTCTTTTCTTTTTCTTTTCCTTTCCTTTTACTTTCTCTTTCTTTTTCTTTTCTCTCCCTTTCTTTCAAACCAAACATAGCCTTATTAGTGTCTGCG